TATGTTACTGAATTCTGCTATACGTTATTAAATTCTGACAAAGATATATTCCAGTAAGAATTTTCCACTCAGGAGAAGTTAACATTCTATACACTCATTTTTTATTTTTCATTTAATTCTTTTTACTGGTCAGAATCTAATAACGTATAGGCCCTAGTAGAATCCGCGCTTCGTTGCGCGTCGCGAAGCCATAGTAATCTTGTCACAATCTTGCCGCGCAATACCCAATTTGAATCGCGATCGCGGACGTACATATTCGTGAATTTTTCGCGGAACGAGAAGCTTTAAAAGGTTCTCAAAATCTACTTTTTATAGTTACTACTGGTTTCTATTCTTTAAGTAGAAGAGGGAGAAACATTTCTCAGAGACATGCGCGCATAAAAAGAAGAGAATTCAAATATTCCCATACAAGAGCATAAAAATTTCGATCAATTCTTATGTAGGAATTTTATAGCAAAAGAATGAAAAGCAAAAACTTTTGAAAAGAAAGTGTTTCTTAAGGTGGTAAAGACACTGATTTCACCATGTTTTACCCGGTTTTCTCTTCGAGAACATAATGCAATCAAGGTGAATCATTCACCTCAGACTCTATTCGAGGTTGAGGTTAAAATAAGTACACAGCAGTTTCATTTGTAAACACGCTCTTGCTTTCTACAATTCTTCTTAACTCGTCACCGAAATTACGATAACGGTGTTTTGAACTTTAGAAAAATTTTGATTGTTATTTCTAAAACAGCTGCAATCTTAGACTTCTTCTCTAAGTTCTCTCATGTATTTCTCGATTATAGTTCCACATATAACTGGTATTTGATCTCAAAATAAAAGTGAGAGCGGTTGACTTATGGTTCGCTTGTGAATATTACCGATAAGGTAACGTTTGCCGTATGTGAAGAAAACATTCACGCTTGGACTGTCAGAGAATGTATACCCGAAGATATTATCGCTAGGATCAGTTCGTTATTAGAGCCAATCTAATATTCTGTGAATGAGGCGGAATGGCTGAGCCCCAATCCTCTGTGCGTCAAGCAGAACCGAACTGATCGTCGCTACATCCTGAGAGTCACTAACAGCAAAGCGATCTTACACCGAGGATATTCACAATTGTTATAAAAAAATCAACCTTTGATGCATTTCTCACTTCTGCGCATTTTTATTTTGAGATATTTGCACAGTAAACATCGATTGAGAGAAAGAACATAGAAAAAGTCCTTAGATATAGTGCATTTGTTGAGAAAGAAGACTTTTTTAATCTACACAAAATGCCTGAAGAAACTGTGCGACCTCAAAATTTATATTTAGGAATTCTCTCCCTCACTGGAAATGCTGTGTACTTACTTTGCAAATTAGTTACTTTTTCTTTGATTTTGCTTTGAAACACTTAAACAAGTAGATATGAACTAAGTATAGGAGTAAGAAATAAATGACTAATATAACAGACACTGCTTTTTCGCTTTGAGTGCACGTAAAGCTTTTGTGCTTTTTAACATTAAGTGTCAAAGCAAAATCAAAGAAAAAAGTAACTAATTTGCAAAGTAAAGTACACAGCAATTCCAGTGAGTGAGAGAATATAAATTGTTTAAAATATAAATTTTACTATCATACAGTTTCTTCAGGCATTTTGTGTAGATCAAAAAGATCGTTCTCAAAAAATGCACTGTATCTATGTCACTATGCACAAATAAAAATTGCTGTGTACATATTTTGAGCTCAACCTCGAAGCAAGTCTGAGGTGAATCATTCACATTCACCTTGATTTCATTATGTTCTCGAAGAGAAAACCGGGTAAAATATAGTGAAAAATCGGTGTCTTAACTACCATAACACTTTGTTTTCAAAACCATTTTTCAGTTTTGCAAGTAACATTTTTCACTTTCGCTAATCGTAAGAAACCATTTAGATATCAGCTCCTTATCAAAATTCGCGGTCGCGACATAATCGCGGCAAGAATAAAGCGCGGAGGTAACTAGGGGGAGAATTCAGTGACATACATCAAATGTTAGGATTCTAAACTTGGGTGTTTCATCTATAATCCATCAGAACTTAGTAAAATAGGCATCAAAATTCAACTTCTTTTGCATCGGGTAGGTGAGAGCGAGCCACTAGAAACACTCGCGAGAGTTTAAGATCAGAAAGATGGTTCAATTATAGTGGAAATCTCGAATTTTATTTGCTAGAACTCTGACAACCCTCATTTATATACCAAATATCACGAGTATAAAATTTAAAAGGAAGATGATAAAACATTATTTTAAAATAATAATTAATGATAGATATTACGAGCATAAATAAAATTAAAGAAAAAATTGAATGAATAATCATAAAGGATCATTTTAAATCTGTTTTTGAAAAATTTAGGTATTATGCTCTCTATAGAGAATTCCATTCTCTTTTGACTAGTGAGTAAAAGAAAACGAGGGGCCACCTTAATGGACATGGAAAACTTCACTTAACTGCCTAGAGTATCCTACGGAATAACGAGCAGGACTTAGCGTCAGCTCCCTTGGGACGCCAGATGAAAATCCTAGCGTGAATGTGTTCTTCACATACGGCAGGCGTTGCCTTATGAAAATTTAACTCACAAAGGACGGGAGCAGGTCTACTCACTTTGCAGCTGATCAACCAAGTATCTTTTCTGTGTCGAACCGGAGTTGAGCAACTGAAATATGAGAGCTTTAGTAAAACTTTCTTGCAGCGGTATAATCATACGTTTCTCACTCAGTACACATGATTTTAATTTCTCAATATATACTTTGACGGACTTTGAATGTTATGTAAGAATATTTTCAAAACATTTCGTGATTTACAATGAAATGGTTTATGGAGATTCGCGCTGTCTTCAATACATCGATCTTCCTTACGTGCTTCTACTCGTCATAAACAATTAGAAAAACTATCATGCATTACATGACACCGCAACAAGTTTGGACGCAGTCCATCTTTCAACATACCTCGTTCATTCAAGATCATGCTTCTTTCATATAGAGCGCGCATTCGAGTAAAAGTGAAGGAAGGAAAATGGCCCGTGGTAGAGCAACCGAATATCGATACAAACGGGGTTGGTTTAGTTCATTTATCTGGAAAATTAACTAAGCGTAGTTAGACTATAGCGGTTGTCACTAATGAAGTAAATCGTAACTTTTCTTAATAAATAGTGGCCCATTAATGTGGCCCATAAATAACTTTACGATTTTAATCTCAGACACTAAGAAATGCTGATAAAAAATCACAGAAACAGTTCGACCCTTTGACGACTACTGCACGTCAGAAACTTATCGAATTGAACTGAAAATTCCACGAAGTACTAAACTCGCTGCCCTCTACAACACATTGTAGAAAATCAGCCAGTTTTTAGATGTTACGCCATCGTTGGTGTCTGACGCTGTCAGAAAAAAAATTCAAATTACAAAAGAGTTATTCAAAAAACATCGACGCATCCTATATTTTGAAAAGGATATTAAACGGATTAAAATCATTCTGACAAACAGAATATTATTCTGAAATTCTAAACAGTACTCAAACATAAATATCGCCATGACAGATCGTCTGACATCATATTTGACGGGGATGATTTGTTCTTCGTAATTTTCGCTATTGTATATGCGTATATACAAATACTTCAATGATGTTCAACACAAAAAACAAGTATCGAGAATCAGTGCAGATGTTTCACATACATTTTTGCCAAATTGACTTGAATTGAGCAAAATCGACAGTGATTCGAGATAAGTTTGAGATGAAACAACGGTGAATGATTGAATAAACTGTGAATACCCCAACAAAATTATTACAATATCCCATACGAATTTTTACTGCTCTTTCTCATTCTATGGTTAATTGAACATTTATTAATTCTCCTTTCTGAAAATTCAAATTTCCTTTCTGATTCTTGAAACTTCTCTTTTGCAAATATCATGGGGACAACGACTCATTCGCAACATATGACACGCAGTTCAATCTTCTAAATATGTGCATGAAAACTATATAAAATAACTTAACGACGATGGATGCAATTCATTTCAAGAAGGCTCCCACGTTCTCCGACTCGGATAATTAATATTTTTCTCAATCAGACAATGGCTGCAAGCGGATAAAACTTCTGGATATATATTTCAAAGTGGGCTCTACAAACCGGCTAAGTGTGAGCGAGATCTAGATGGGAGGATGTCACGTCCCCTTAATGGATACGAAACGTATAGAGAGAAAAAAAGACAAGACTAATTGCTATAACACGGTTTGCATTAATGAAAAATTTCGTTGAATAAAACAATCGTGAACAAAGATTAGTAGAGTGAAAGTTAATTGTACCATTGTAGCAAAATTAAAATCAAGTTTACATGTACACATTACACTCTAAAAATGTCTATTTTAAGAATCTTAACACCAAATTTGAATTCTTTTTCCATTGTAGTTTGCTTGAAATTGTTTCCTCTCAGTTAATATTGTATTCATATTTAACCATATTTTAAAATTTGTCAACCATCTTTTATTTTTCTTATTTGGTTTTGTTTGTTCAAAACTCAAATTTCTATTATCGTTACGTTTAATATCTAAATATTGTAATTTTTTGAAAAAATACAAAATATCCATTATGAACCATTCATCATATACTTTAGTTATTTTTAATTTTAAATATTTTACTAATGGAAATGTAAATGATAATTGTTGAATATTATCAATTTTATAAATATTATCTCTATGTCCAATGATTATATCTAATTCAATAATTTGTTTTAGTACTGTTAAACCACAAAGATTTGTTAAATCAATGAGTTCTTGACATGTAACAGATAAATGAATAATATGTGATACCATTAAGAATATAAATTGATTTGTTTGATTTAATGGTTTTAATGATAAATGACATAATTGAGATAAAGGAAGGCTACATTTTGAAAAATCAAATGATATATTAATTAAATTTAATTGATGTATATTTGGAAATGGACGAAGTATATGAGTAAAATGAGAAAATGGTAAATAATCATTCATTTTACTACTCACATTCAATTGTTTAACATTAGAATAGATACTACTAACATTACCAATAGATGATGTTTCTATTTCACATTTGGTATAATGAAATGGTATAGTATGTAAGTGTATATAATTTGAAAAAATAAAACAACGAAAAAAAAATTTTTTTGATATTAACCATTCATTTGTTGAAAATATATCATTCACACTATAAATTTGATTATTCTGTTTTAATATTTCCATAATTTCATTTCTTGTTATCAATCGATCATCTAAAAGTTCAATAATTTGATTCATATTGGGAACAGTTTCTTTTAGCATATCTTGAATTTGTTCACGAGTCAATTTTGCCTGTTCATTTAGATTTTTTAATTTACCAACAATTTGATCATAATTAAATATATAATTATTTTTTATTCGAATTGAACAATGAAATTTGATTAATTGTGGAAAAATCAGATAACCAATCAATCCATTGTTCATCAACAAGATAATTTCCATCATTTGCACGTAGTACAACTGATAATATTTTTAATGATGTCATCGGATTGATAAGTGTGCGCAAATCAGTAAAAGAAAGATCTATTGAATCTATTTTTAAATGAAAATCAACTAGATATTCGGATGGTTTAGAACGAATAATGTCAAAAGAGTTTTTTTGAACGTTTTTAATAGAATTTTGTAAATGTATTGGAAGAATTGTTACATGAAGACGTCGAAGATTAGTAAAAGAATTGAGTATGTCAATTAGATTTGTAACATCTTTCAGGGTCACAACCAAATCTTTAATAGTATACATTGATAAATGAATAGATATTCCTTGATCTAGAGACGATTTAATTGATACTTTGATCAATTGATCACTGACTGTATCTAAGCTAATTGAATCTTTACATGTAACAATATCAAGTTCACATAACATTTGAAGACGTTCGACTTTTGACAAGAGTATATCAATTTCATCATTATCATTTTGATCAATAAGAATTAGGAATAAATGTTCAATATTAACAAATAATTCATCAAACTCTATTTTTTCATTCAAAATTTTCAATAGATTTAATGAATGTTTAGTATTTAAGAGCAAACTTCGAATTTGAGAACCGATTGACGGTATCGTCCATTCGGAGAGACTAAGAAAACGAGAATATGACAAGTCTGATATAATGAGACATTCTTTTCGATACTGTGCGATTATTTTGTTTAATCGACGATTGAGACGCGTGAATGAATGTAAAACATCAATGGGACGTAGATAACTGCAAATGTTGAGAATAATCTCGTCCGAAAATGTTAGAAACCGAGTGATAGCTGATGTCATGGCTACAAACAAATAAAAACTCTAACCAGAGGACCTTGCGAACTGTCACATCGTTTTTTCAGCCAAACCTAGTGGGTTATAGGTTATCAACTATGCTGAATCTGAATATCATAGTGGGAGCTGCTCAGAGGTCTTCAGAGAGCGGTTTTCTGGAAAATCAGTTTTTCAGAAACTCTAAAAAGTAACCAAAACCTTTCTTAATGAGACATGATTGTAGCCAGCAAATGTTTGATTAAAATGAGACAATTCCTGGCTCTGCACGACCTTTCTTTCCAAAGTTACAGAATTTACACGAAAAGCCCTAAATGTTCAAAGTTACAGAAATAAGAAGAAATAAATTTAGGGCTTTTCTTATAAATTTTATAACTTTGCAAAGAAAGGTCATGTAGAGCTGGGAAAAGTCTCATTTTAATCAGAAATTTGCGGACTACAATCATGCCTCATTAAGAAAGGTTTTGGTTACTTTTTAGAGTTTCTGAAAAAAAGATTCAGAAAACCGCTCTCTGGAGACTCCTGGGAAGCTTCCATTATGGTATTCGGATTCAGCATAATTGATAACCTATAACTCGCTATGTTTGGCTGAAAAAGCAATGTGACAGTTCGCGAGGTCTCCCCGTAAGTGTTAATTTTTCCCTTAATGCGTTATGCAAAGATATAATTATTATTAACTTACAGTCCTTTTTTCTTCAATACAATGAGAAACACATCTACAATGAGAAGGTACAGTGTGCATAGTAATATATGATTTTAAAAGTAACAGAAACGTTCTCTTTTCTGTAAATGAAGAGAAAAAGAAAACAAAAACGTCGTTTTGTCAGCACTAGTACAAATGCTTTTGCAAGTGAAAAAAAAAATGTTGTAGTATTTTTTATCAACCTTGACTTTTTTTCTTTCTCTATTGAAGAATGGAGAGAGCTACCATTTTTTTTAAACTGCGTTTTGAATGGAAAAAAAATAGGACTTTTATCTTTTTCTAGTAAATCTCTTTCTATTCGATGCCGTATTTTTCAGAATATCATAAAAGTGAACTAGATCAAGAAATTTAAAATAAAAAAAAGTGAATGCTTTTAAATTTAAATTAGTTTTATAGTTCAACTTTCTCCAGGTTTTAAAGTTCATTCTCTTCACTCGATTCCTAGCTAATTGCATGAGATGATATATGTTTGACGTCTATCTTAGAAAAAACATCTCTTAAGACTTGATCGCGTTGGTTTATATAAAAAGTCGAATGTAGCATTTCAAAAAACTTAATGTATGATCTTTATAAAAATAAC